TGCGATCATTTGTATCAATTTGTAAAAAAGAAAAAGAGAATCAAATTGAGTATTTCTAGAGTAAGTCTTGTTTTGCAAACTGATATGTAAAAAATATTTCTCATAGCTTGTATTGAAACAGCTTTGATCAAAATATAAACCTAAACTACATGAAAAATTCTGTACCGATGTGATATTTGATCTCCGTCGAAGATTTCCTCTCAATAAATTAATTTAAAGCCAAAAAAGAATTGTGAATATATAGTTAGAAAGAGCATGAAATCTTTGTTCTAGTTGATTACTTTTGATTTTCTCCAGTGACTTATAAATGAACGAAAATTAACCAGAAATGTTTTGCAAAGACTTTTTTACATACACAGATTATGTGTCATATTCTAGCACAGTGCATTGAATGATAATATAGTCGCTAAAGTTAAATGTCGTCGATGTTTGTTATTCGACAAGTAGTCTCAGATAATTAGTTTGACATCATTTTTCTGTTCTAACTTCTTGTTGTGATATTATTATGCGGCATTTATCGATATGTACATGAAAATTTAAGTAATTTAGCGGAAAAAGTTTTGATAAGGTTATCTTTCTATTTATGACTACTATCTAGTGACTCATACCCGCTGCTGTTTCCTTTTGTCTCTTCCAACTTCTGAATTTACTATACAAGCTGAGCACCTTTTCTATCGATACTATATTTTAAATTAATGAACTAAAGTATAGATATCAAGCAACTTAACAATAGAAGCGAAAGGCATAAACAGGATGCACTCAAAATATGAAAAAAAAAATACATTTGATCACCAATTCTTTTCAAGTAGTGAAGTTTCATTATCTCTTGGGTGCTTCTACATGATCTACACTCGGCACTTTATTTTCAGGGATCAAACAGGTTAATGTATGATCAAAGCAATTAAAGAATGGTGGAGCGCGTTTATCTATAAAAAAAATTCATATCCATTTAAAAATATGGTTCTTCTCCAGGTCGACGACATCCTATACACTATGTGGTCTAACTGGCAGAGAGCATCAAAGAGTGTGAATGCCACGGTGTCGCTAATCTGGAGAAGTATCACTTTGGCTCTTTTCCAAACCTACAATACCATTAACTAACTGGTCTGCTGGACTGTGGAAAACTGTACAGAGTGAGGTTGCCACCGACCTGGAGTAGCACCTAAACTTTATTGACAGATAATAATGTGAAATGAATGTTGAGAAAAGTTGGTATTCAAAAATATTGTGACCCCAAAATATATATATAGAAGATACATAAAGAATGATAAATGAAAAAAAAGAAAGCCTATTTATCAAACATATTAAAGTAAAGAAAAGGGATTTCTGTCAATAAAGTATCATTATCGAAGTGAATTTAATGACCAGATTAGAATCATAAGTTCATCCGTTTTAACTGCGGTCAACTTGCCCAATACATCGATCCCTAATAAACAATATTTTATATTGTAAATTGTTGGCATTTCACGATCATTTTTCTGATAACTTTTGTAGCAGACAAAAGAATCAGAAAACCAACAAACTTTGCTGATTTTGATTGTTTCCTGAAGGTGAAAATAATCGATCAGATTGAAATATAAACTTCAATATAGATTCTTCTTAAGAATCTGTAAACGATGAAATGTTTTCATCTTTTAAAAATAATTAGAATAAAAACAAAACTTATTTCATGATTTTGAGTTGGGTCTTCAATCGTGTTTGAACATGTTAGAACCCATTATTTTCTTGAGCACAATTATTTTTTGTTTTCGTTTACTTAATCTATTTTTCTATTAGGAAAACATAGTGAACAATTACCAAAAGCAGAAGAAGTAAATCAAGAAGTATTACCGTTACTTTTTGAAGCTATATCTGTTAATACAAATTATACATCAAAAATAGAGGTTAGAATTAGTTTGTTTTTTTTTTCTAAATAATTTTTTATTAAATGATATATATATATAGGAGTCAAAGCAAGATGATGGTGGTTTACCAAAACAAATTGGTAATAAAACTGAATGTGCTTTATTGGGTTTAGTACAAAATTGGGGTGGATCATATTATAGAATTCGTCGAGATATTCCCGAAAAAAAATTAGTTAAAGTATATGTATTTAATTCTGTACGTAAAATGATGAGTACAATTATTCAACGTAATGATGGTTATCGAGTTTATACCAAAGGTGCATCAGAAATGGTTTTAACGAAGTAAGAAAAAAAACACATTTAAATTATTTAAAAAGAAAAAAAAATTCCTATTCATTTTTTTTTGTCTTGTTTTGTTTCTTAAAGATGTAAATCAATTATTGGTGAAAATAATCAAGTAAAAGAATTAAATGACAATGAAAAAAGTCGTTTAATACATGATGTTATTGAAAATATGGCTCATAATGGTTTAAGAACAATTTGTATTGCTTATAAAGATCTTGGAAAAGAAAAACAAGATTGGAATAATGAAGATAAAATTATTAATGATTTAATTTGTATTGCAATTCTTGGAATTGAAGATCCTGTTCGAAACGAAGTAAGATAATTTATTTAAAAAAGAAATAAAAGATTAATTCTTGTTTGGTTTTCTTTTCTATTCAGGTACCGGAAGCTATTGAAAAATGTCAACGAGCAGGCGTTGTTGTTCGCATGATAACAGGTGATAATATAATGACAGCTCGTTCCATAGCAACAAAATGTGGTATAATCAAACCCGATGAAGACTTTCTTATACTTGAAGGAAATGAATTTAATAAACGTATTCGAGATGCAACTGGAAAAGTTAATACAGCGAAATGAATATGTTTTGCTTTTTTATAATTTAAATATTTAGATTTCACAAAAAAAACTCGATGAAATTTGGCCAAAATTACGTGTTTTAGCACGTTCATCACCTCAAGATAAATATAATTTAGTTAATGGTATTGTTGAAAGTCGTATAACAGCATATCGTGAAGTTGTTGCTGTTACTGGTGATGGTACAAATGATGGACCAGCACTTAAACGTGCTGATGTTGGATTTGCTATGGTAAATTATATTTAAAAAAAAATACTTTACATTTGGTTTTTTTTGATCGATTTCTTTTATAAAGGGTATTCAAGGAACAGATGTTGCAAAACAAGCATCCGATATAATCTTAACAGATGATAATTTTGCATCGATTGTTAAAGCTATAATGTGGGGAAGAAATGTTTATGATTGTATTGCAAAATTTCTTCAATTCCAATTAACAGCTAATTTATCAACTGGTTTGATTTCAGTTGTATCAGCTGCAGCTATTAGCGTATGATATATACATATATATTCTTATTTTTCGAAAAAAAATTTATTTTCGATGTTTTGTTTTATTATTCTCTAGAGTGTTCCATTACGAGCTGTACAAATGCTTTGGGTTAATCTTGTCATGGATTCATTAGCTTCACTTGCTCTTGCAACCGAACCACCAACAGAAGAATTATTAAATCGAAAACCATATGGACGAACAAAATCAATAATATCACCATTAATGTTACGAAATATTCTTGGACAATCATTTTATCAACTTATTATTATGTTTGTTATACTTTATGTTGGACAATATTTCTTAGATGTTGAATCAACAGTTCAAAAAATTCAAAATAATCCACATGCAGCTAGAGAATTAAGTCAACAATTCACATTAGTATTTAATGCATTTGTATTAATGACATTATTTAATGAAATTAATTCAAGAAAATTATATGGAGAAAGAAATGTATTTAAAGGAATATTTCGAAATCCATTTTTTTATTGTATTTGGATTTTTTGTTTTGTTGCACAAGTAATTATAAAAAGAAAGAATTAAAATAATATGTTATTTGTTTGATTTTAGATTTTAATTGTTACGTTTGGTGGTCAAGTATTTAGTTGTGCACGATTGAGTATTATACAATGGGTATGGAGTTTACTTTTTGGTGTTGGATCACTTATATGGCAACAGGTTTGTTGTTTGAATTATCTATGAAATTCTAAGAAAAATTTGATTGTTATAATCTAGATTATATTATGTATCCCAACGAAACCATTTGCTCTATGTTTTTCGGCAATGTTTCGTGTTTGTTGTCCATGCTTTTATAAAAGACAACGAAGAAAATGTGCTGAGAACGAAACTCGTCGAAAATCAGCTGCAGCGGATCAACTACGACGAGTATCAAGATGGAGTGATGGTGGTTATATGCCATATAGTATAATTGGTCAATCAACAAGTGCAACTGTTGTTCCTGAACCACAACCTACCATTGCTAAATTTATGCTACGAAAAGGTGCCAATCGACCTAATACAGAGGTTTGAATTTTTTGTTTTTTCTTTGAATTTTTATAATTCTATATATGATATATACTTTAGTTTCGTGTGATTAATGAATTTCGTACACGACTTGAAAAAGTTGTTGAATGTAAACGCAATAGTCGAGCCAATATTCTTGATGAATAATTGTGAAAGCGTGTGATGCAACATGTTCACTTCTTTCTTTTTTTCTTCTTTTTTTTATTAGTTTGTTTTTTTCTTTTTTCTTTTTCTTTTTCCTTTTATTTCTTTTCATTTATCCGTGCTGTTTGTATTGGGGTGTGTGTGGGTGTGGCGGTGTGGGGTGGGTGGGTGTGGGGTGTAAGTTGGTAGGGTGTGAGTGTGGGTGTGGGTAAGTTGCCGATGATTAGACGCCAACATCCGCACCCCATACACCCACACCCCACACCGGCACCGACCCACACCCAATATATATTCAAGTACTTTTACTTTAAAATCAAGCTATTCAAGATTAAATTCACTTGTTCGGTACATACCAGTGAAATCAAAACATCTTGCGATCGATTTACATTTTCGAGATCAACCGTTCATATTTAAGATAAAAATTTTGCGCATCTTTATATAGTAAAATCATTAAATATGAGCAAATTATTATTAATATATTTTTACTTAAAAATGATCTTTTAATAAGTCGAAACGTCATAAAAGGAATAAAAGAATAAAATAAAGAAAACTCAATTCAAATCCCTATCTTTCACTTTTACTTCTATTAATGTTTATAAAGAATATCTTTATTAATTTGATCAATCGATGTTAATCCACAACAAGCCATATCATAAACTAATTCACGTTTTAATATATCTAATACTCTTCGAACACCATCTTGTCCACCACTAGCCAATCCATATAAAATCGGCCGACCGATAAAAACAGCTCGTGCGCCCAATGCTAATGCTTTTAACACATCAGTTCCACTTCGAATACCAGTATCAACAAATACTAAATAAGAAAGAATAGCTAATCCAGGATTACCAAATTCAAATTTTATAAATCAGGAGTATTTTGTTAAAAATCCAGAGTTTTTCAGGAGACGTTGGTTTCAAATCAGGAGAAAAATTACGAGATTTTTATTTGAAGTTAAAGAATCGTTTGGTGATTTTCGTAAGGAAAATTCGAAGTTTCACTTCTATATGCACTTTTCTCTTTTACATATTAAGTTGATGATGGAAAATTATTCTTAAATTTGAATTATACCGAGTGTGCCAAAATGTTTGCAACATTTTTTATCTCGCATATATCTCGGCTTAGATGAATGATAAAATCTTGATCTTTTTTCTAAGAGATACACCGTGAAGTGCTCTGAAAAAGTTATATCAACAAATTTCTATTGACTTCCTCTGATGATTTTCCTAAATGATTAAAAGTGCAGATTTGCGTGAAGTTGCTCTCGAGTGTTGCAAAATATTTGGAGAATTTTTTGTTCTACATATATTTCGACTTGAAAAGAATGATAAAATCTTGATTTTTTTTAAAGGCGCCGTGAAATGCTCCACAAACATTGTATAAGCAGAAACCCCTACTGACATGCTCTGATGATTTTTCTCATACTCAAAATGTACAACTTATATGATAGTGCTACTTCCCATCGTGTCGAGCATAATAAAAATGTTTGGAAGATTTTTTTTACTTTGCGTATATCTCGGCTAAAGAAAATCATAACATCTTGCCTTTTTTAACGATGAACTACCGAAAGCTCTATAAAAGCTGTATGAACAAATCAATATTGCGAAACAAAAAAATCTTTCGTACATTTTTATTATGCAGAATATGGTGAAAAGTTGCACCATTATGTCGATTGTACATTTTTCGTATAATAAAAACCATTAGGACATGTCAGTATTGATTTGCTAATACAATTTTTGTAGAGCTTCTCACGGCGCATCTTAAAAAAACGATGAAGATTTTATTATTTTTCTGTGCAAAGATATTCGCGAAATAAACTATTTTGCTAACATTTTGGCACGTTCGGTATATCGTTTATTTGTTGCTAATGATGATGAAGCAGCAAGTTTTAATTTCGCAGTTCTTTTTGATAAAATAGAAATACCATCGTTTACCGGTTGCGGCTCAGTTGTTGCCATAAGATTTTTATCCAATGAGTTTGCTACTTCAATAATGCCACCCTTGCCCGTCAAAACATTACACATACAATATTATTTTTTTAATATCTCTGTTTAAACAAATACTTTATATAAAATTAGTTAACGTAATTGTAATTAATGACTTTATTTTGAGTAAAAGGGAGTAAAAGCAACTTGTTTTTATTGATTCAAAGTGTTGCTAACAGAAAAATATTAAAAAAATAAAAATCAACTCCTGAAATCAGGAGATTTTCGGTCAGGAGACAAGTTCAAAAATCAGGAGTCTCCTGATCAAATCAGAAGATTTGCCAAGCCTGAGCTACTCTAACAATATAGAGGATTTAACCAAATCAACGACTTTTTAAAGAGGAAGCAGATAGATAAATTTTCTCATCCTAACTATGTTGAGACGTTTTGAAAAAGAACGTTATAAAAAACTTCAGAGTGTTCAAAACATTATTCTCTCTAAGATTTGATATCTTAAGAAGACACTAAAAATTCGTTAGATTTTTTCAATTGTCATTAAGACAAATTTACCTTCTGCACGTCCATCCACAACATTGATGACATCTTCTAGACATTCAATAGCTGGTGGTGCTGTATCAATTAGTCGACCACCATGGTTACTAAAACCAATAATAGCAAAAGATATATTAAGTTAACTGATTATATGCAAAGCAGACCTGACAATAATTCCATTTGCTCCATATTTAATTGCTAATTCTGCATCAATCGGTGAGAGTATACCTTTGCAAATAATTGGTAACTGTGTCAATTTTCTTAACCATTCAATATTTGCCCATGTTACTGAACCGGTGCCAAAACGCTGCTTAACGATTATACCAGGTATATTCAAATTTGGTATTGACATACTCTTCATTAATTCTGGATCGATATTCTTTGATGCTTCTTCAAATAATGGTAATACAAAATCTCGAATACGTTCATGTGGTTGATCACATGTAATAACAATTGCTCGGTATCCTTTTTTATCAGCTTGTGGAACTATTTGTTCTAAGATTTCTATAGGTGTTGTCAGATAAATATGTAAAAATTTTGGACCTAAGATGAAGAGCACTGAAGAGCAAATGAGATAGAAAAGAAAAAAGGATATACCCAGTGTTTGTAGAACTTCTTCTTCTGGCATATTTGAAAACGTCCAATTGTACGTAAAAATACATTGAGCTTCAGTTGCGGCGCGAGCTGTGGCAACTTCACCATCAACATGAGCAAGACAATGACAAGCAAACGTAGCAATTAGGATTGGTGATTCATATATCGATCTATAATAAATGTTGACAAATGCATTTCCTCTTCCAGTGAATTCATAGTGACGAAGCAAAAACTAGAAAAAGACCTCAAAGAAAAAATCCTGTCAATGGATAGAATCTGTCTCTATATGAGTATCACATTATTTTATATTTCGATGGTCTCTCACCCAAATATAGTTGTTTTTAATGAAATTTCACTAACATCCATCAAAACTCTTGGCATAATTCTTAACTGTTTATCAAAATAGTGTCGACATGCTTGATATGTATGTCCTTGACCAGCTTTGTAGTCATAATAATAAAAACGATGTGGCATCATGGATTTCTTAGCTAATTCTTCGAAATCAGATAATGATTTACATTTTAAATATTCAGTTTTCTATATCAATAATGAGAATCAATGAATAATTAAATAAATAAACATACTCGTTCTTCATCTTTTTTTTTCCTCCTTCTTTGTTGAAAATAATTTAGAAGAATTACAACACTTGTCAACGTTGTACCAAACCATAAAATATACAATTGACTGTCTGAAAAATTAAAAGTTAAATTTCTAATTACATTGATAAGCATACTTACTTTTCATTGATTAAAAAAATGCTCTATGTTACTTCAAAAATATCGTTATTTCGATGTGGAAATCTTCAAGTAGGATCAACAACTGAGAAAAAATATGTATAAGATCATATAGAAATTTTTCAAGTTCGATTTCTTGATTATAAAAGAATATATTTGCTAATAAACTGAATTTATTTCACTCTTATGAGAGACTTTAGCGGAACATCCATTCAGAGAACTTAGGCAATATTTTAACTTGTATCTGTGAATTCTGAATTCGAATATTTTCAGCTACAGTAAAAACAAATTGTTTTGTATTGATAAGCATTACGAAGAATGAAAAAACAAACGAATAGATAAGATGTCGTTGAAGCATGTTAGAATACGATGTTGCACAGAGAAAGATAAAAAAAATTGCATTTCTAATGAATATTTTAAAGGTCATAAAAAATAAAAAAACGACTCATCATAGTGTCTACCTCAAAATAATACAATGGCTGATCTAGAATTATGGAAGGGTGGGGGCACTTTTTCGAAGGAGGTGCAGACATAAAGCAGTGGACAAAAGTTTAAGCCCAACGTAATCTAGATTTTTTTTCCATGATGTTAACCACCTAGCTCAAATCCAGATAATGATTTTAATAGCCAATGGAGTTTTCTATATGATACATTCTGTCCCAAATATTCAAAGATGAACTATGATGACAGGGTTTCTCGGACACTGTATTTTCAGGTCACAGAAGGCTTGGTCGAAGCTGTTTTTAAACAATGCCAGTGGGTGTGGATGTCGTTGTGGGGTGTGGGTGTGGGTTCGGTGTGGGTGTGGATTTAGTTCTTCTGTTCACTGACGTCCACACCCGCCCACACCTACACTCCACACCCACACCCACACCCATTACATAATAGAGGATCAATTGAAAATTCCTCACCAATCAGTCGAATATGCATTATCTTAGGTAACAATGAAAGTAGTGATTTATTAAAATCAAGTTTTGCATTATAATGGATGTTAAACGAGAGAGAAGCTAAATGACTTGACTGGATGTGGCTGTGGGTTTGAGATATATGAGAATATCCATATTCGCATCCTCACACGTAGGTGAAGTTAGCAGCGGATTTGAGTAATTCTAGCGGCGATTCGTCCAACGACCTGGTCCAAGTCTCCTATTCTCGGCCCAAGTAGAAGTCGACGAGCTCTATCCAATGATATACTTAGATTTTCGATAGACAAAAAGTATGATTTTTGGGCTGATAAATGACGTTAGTGAGCATCTGAAAATTATACTTTGGGCTACCGAAAATCTGAGCATACCATTGGATAGAGCTCGTCAAGTTGTACTTGAACCGAAAAGAGGAGACTTGGACCAGGTCGTTGGACGAATCGCCGCTGGAATTACTCGAATCCACTGCTAACTTCACCTACGTCATCCTCACCCACACCACCATCCACATCCACCCAAACCCTTTCCGCACAGATCGAAAAAGCTTATATTTTGGCCAAAATTTCCATTCTTTATAGGTTATTGATACTGCCGATAATTTATATAGCATGAAAAGTTAGGTCAAATAGGGTGTGGATGCGGATATCGTTTTGTTTACTCTATTGAGCCACATCCGTACTTTCAAGAGAGTAAATCATAAACATGAAACACCGCTCGCGAAAGTGAGATCGAAACTTTTGTTGTCACGTCATACACATATAAATGATACACATTCTCACAGGCTCAAGATGATATAAAAAAAATTCTTTATATTTATAGAATAATATATTATTTTATTATATAAAATACTAGTGTTGTAAAACTATTAATAATGTGGAGTTTGCATGAATCTTCTTCTTCATTTTTATGTGATGTGCTTCATAGATTATATATGGTGATTTATTTCATGATCATCAAACTAATTCATAAAATTTTCTAACTGCAACCAATGCCTTTTCAAAATTGTCAGCGTTTACACTCAATACAAATCGACATTATCCTTTAATTCCAGTCCATATATCATTATTTATTAATAGACATGTTGCATAAAACAATGCTTCGTGAATATTGCTTCCATTTAGAGTATAACTGAATTTTCCTGATGAACTTGAAACTTCAATAACCTTATTAAAATAACTAACAGGTGAAGCAACCATGAATAAACCACCTTGGGATGGCAAAATTTTCCAACCACATTCTGTAAGCGTTTTATTTAGCCGATCAGCTCTTGATTTCAATGTGCACCGTTGTTCTTCAAGTGTTTTGAGTAAAAATGAATCTTGTTTATTTAATAGTCCATAAATCTTTTTGCAAGCATAAAGCATTGTGGAGTGTGGCTGGTTAATCATATGTTTGTTTATACCGTCAGAAATCAGTTAATTTTTTGTTACCAAATATCCAAAACGTAATCCAGCACCAGCAAATTCTTTTGAAATTCCACCTAGAACAGCATATTTTATTTTACCGTCATCAAATAAGTTATCTAATCGATATGTTTCAGCAGATTTTTCAAATTCTAAACCCGAAAAAATGTTATCTATAATAATAGTGGCATTCGAAATTCCTGGAACACTTAAAATGGCTTCAATTTCAGATGCTCCATATCTTGCGCCTGTGGGATTTACCAATGGAAAATTTAAAAAAATCCAATAATTTGCACTGTCGTTAATTACTTGTGATAGTTCGGAAGGTGATATTTTAAATTGATTATTTTCTGAAGTTGAAATAATTTTTATCGGTGCATTATAATACATTGCTGTAGCATAAAAATAACCATAAGCACCTTGTGGAAAAACCAATATTCCATGTTGTTCTATACATGTTCGTACCAATGCCGAAAATAGTGGAGCGACTCCCGTTCCAAAATGTATTTTTATTTCATTGCTTGAATTGATACCAAATCTTGATTTTAATAATGTTGAAATTTCAGGTAATACATCAATTTCTTCATTTGGAATGTTTTGTCGAATAAAACTTTCAAAAATGGAAGTTTTTAACGATTTTGGACTAACTAATTCGTTTTCACCATAATCTAATCTTATCGTATTTTTTGTTATTGGAAGTTCATTGATTTGAATGCATGGATGATTGAACGATTCCAAAACATTATTTCTCATCCTGATGAATTTTTCTTTAAACTCAACAGTTTCCTTAAACAAACCAGCATGTTTCTGATTTTTTCTTACGTTTACCATTTGAAATTTAACTAAATCAAATAATAATTCCGAATAATAAAGTTGTGAAACCATCGGTGTTCTGCTGTATGTAAGTTCAGCACTATTAGCAAGTGTTTCAATCATGTTTTCGTTTTGTGTTAATAAGAAACAATCTTCTAAATCTGAATAAACCTTATTTTTTATCAAACCACAGATGATGGCAACATGATTAGGAAGATTATTTTTTGACAAATAATTTAGAATACCAATATTTTGAGGAGAACTGCTTACTTCGAAGTAAGCTGACATATCCACAAATAAACGTGTTCCTTCTTGTTCGGAGACCGAAATAAGTGATTTAAAAGATTCAACCGACTTGCTTTGTAATTCATTAAAACTGAAAAATACCAATTGAGGCTTTAATTTTAGAATTAATTCTTCTAATAAAGTAGATGATTGAGGAACTTCAAGCAATATAAAATTTTTGGATTCATATTTTCTCAAACCTTTGGCATGATCTGTATCAGCCAAAATCAATGAAGCTGAATAAACATTAACAATATTGCTAATTAACGACCTTAAATTTGGAGCAATTAACAAATGTTGATGTGTAAAACTTGTATGATAATAGGAATTTAAATATTGAGCAATTCGTTTACGAAATATTGTTTCATTTTTGGTTTCGCCATACGAAAAAAAATGGTATTTTGTTTAACTTTTGAGTAAGAGTTGAAAGAAAATTAATTTTTTCTTCAGCAATGCTTTTATCGTTAAAACACAAATCTAATCCATGCAATGCTTCTTGATAATCAACATCTTTTAATAAACTGAAAATATTTCTTAATATATCCAAATTGTGGAAAGTGCATTCATAAACAGTTAATGAATGACAAATTTGTCCGCCAGCATCTGCATAATATTTTGCAGTTTTAGCAGATATTGACTCATCAAAATTCAAACCCATATAAAATTCAAGCCTAATTGGTGATTGTTCTTCTATTTTTATCATAGGAGCAATATCTGTGTCACTTGCCTGTATTACTTTTCTCTGCCATATTTTCTTGATATCGACCCCTCGTCGCTCAAACAATCTTTCCAATATTTTTTTACCAGGACGACCGCCCATATTGGAAATTAATTTTCCTCTGGGTTTAATCAAATCAATACCTTGTTCGAGTGCCTTGGCTATTAATCCAAAGCCAAAAGAATCTTCAACGTAACCTTGTTGGGCACAATAATTACTGTATGAATATAATAAATCATCATGTTGACGTTCATGTATTATTTCATCAGTAGGAAAATTTTCTGGATGAAGTACTTGTGGAATACATCCAAATATGACATCGAAATGAAAAGGTTCTTTATTAATGAAATATTCAAGTAGATCTGATTCATAAAATTCAATTTTATCAATTAAATTTTCTTCATTCAAATCATCCTTAACGTCATTGGCTTGATCATCTAATGCATTTAAATAGAGATTTATTTTCGAACAAACTATTGCTCGTGGATTAATATCTAAACCAAACACTTTTTGTGGTTCAAATTTTTTTGCCATAGTAATGGTTATCCAACCGTTACCACAACCTAATTCAACAAGATTTTTATTTTGAAATTCAGCAGCATCGTATCTTGCTAATCCTTCAAAAAATGTATATGACCATTCTTCAGGAGTGAATGTACTTGGAAAATCTAATCAGGTAATTAATTCACTGTAGCCTTTATTATTTGAAATATCAACCGATAAAAATGTAAAATGAAATGATTTTATAGTTGCTTCATTAACCATAGTAAATCTTTCTCGAATGAAATTTACCAGTTCCGTTAAAAATAAGCGAGCTTCTTTCCGGCTGCTTTTGTCTTCAAGTGAATGGAGAACGACCTTGAAATTTTCAAAAGTCTGATAGCTTGATTGTTGACACTGCTCGATGAATGTATGTAAATTGAACATTGGAATTGAACTGGATTAAGTTTGACTTGATTGAGCTAAATGATTAATCAATTGTTACAAGTAACGCTCATCAACAGATTCGTTGACCTTTTTCTGAAAGATGACACCTTGTACGTCTAAAGTAATTGTAGTCTAGGTTTCGTAATACTTATTCAATTCTCGATATGATTGATCACTGAAGAAAGCATCGTATGATTTCTCGAAGCTTTCTACAAAAGCTACTCTCTGAGACAAAGTTCCAAAATCATCTTTGAGTCGGTCATCAGCACCCGTTCTGAGCACCACTCTCGACTCGCCGTTCACACCAGAAAGAAACCTATATCACG